CCAGCTTAGGACCCTAATTAAGTTAATAACAATGTACCTATCTATATAGTTTAAGTTTAAAAATTTTGGCTCTCAAAAGAAATTTCAGTTGTTGTACTGTTGATATTTGGCTCTGTTGACTAATAAGTTTGCCGACCACTGGACTAGGGGGATGGGAAAGTGTATTAGGATTCATTTCCTCCACAACTGACAGAAAGCCTAAAAAGATTTTTAAAAAATTAATAGACTTTATTTTTTAGAACAGTTTTAGATTACAGAAAAAATTGCAAATATAGTAGTTTCTTTATGACTCCTGCCTGTGCATATACCGCTTTCTCTATTATTAACCTCTTGCATCAGTATGGTGTATTTGTTATAATTAATGAACCAATATTGATACATTTTTATTAATAAATGTCCATAGTTTATTCAGATAGCCTTAGTTTTGACCTAATATTTCTGATAACTTTCCTTTTTAAAATATATTTTATTAATTGTTTACAGAGAGGAAGAGAGAGGGGCAGAGAGTTAGAAACATTGATGAGAGAGAAACATCAATCAGCTGCCTCCTGAACACTCCCCACTGAGGATGTGCCTGCAACCAAGGTACATGCCCTTGACTGGAATCGAACCTGGGACCCTTGAGTCTGCAGGCCGACGCTCTATCCACTGAGCCAAACCAGTTAGGGCTCCCTGATAACTTTTCTTGTTCTAAAGGCTACTTTGAAATTCATAGAGCTATTCCAGTTTCCTTTAGATTAGCGTTAGTATGGTATATAAATCCTTCACTTTTTGTTATTGTTGTTGTTAATCCTCACCTGAGGATATTTTTTCCATAGATTTTTTTGTTGTTTTTTTTAGAAAGTGGAAGGGATGGAGAGGGGAAGGTGCAAGAGAGAGGCAGAGAGAGACATCGATGTGAGGAAGACATTGATTGGTTGCCTCTCCCATGTACTCAGACTGGGGCCAGGGGCTGAACCTGTAACCCAGGTACCTGCCATTCATTGGCTGGAAATAGGACCTGTGACCCTTTGGTGCATGGACCAATGCTCTAGCCATTTAGCACACCAGCCCGGCTCAGTTATACTTCTTTAAAAATTTTTTAGTGATTGCAATGTACTTTTACAACTAATCTAAGTCAATTTTGAAAGAACACTGTACTGCATCATTGTCATCAGTAGTACAGATATTTTATAACAAAATATTTCCAGTTCTCCCCTCCCATCTCATAACATTCTGTCATTCACATACCCATATGCTATAATCACCCAATGTATTATTGCTATTATTTTAAACCAACAATTATCTATTAGATCAATTAAGCATAAGAAAAGGTTTTAATTTACCTTCATTTATGTCTTCTCTGATTCTAGTTTCTGACCCATATCCTTTTCCTTCTCTCTGAAGACTTTTTAATATTTTGCAAGGCAGGTCTATTGGTGACATATTCCCTCAGTTTTGTTTGAGAAAGTATTTATACTTCACTTTTGAATGATAATTTTTCTGAATATAGGATCCAAGTAGGTGGGTTATTTTCTTTCGACTCTTAAAATATTGCATGTCCCTCTCTTCTCTCTTGCATTTAAGAAGTCCAATGTCATTCTTATCCTCATTCCTCTATGAGTAAGTTATTTTTTCCTTTCTGGTTTCTTTTCTAGAAGACTTTCTCTTTGTCTTTTGATCATATATATGTATATATAATGTATTTATGTATTATTATGTATCATTTTCAATATGATATAGTGTTTTCCTACTTGGAGTTCTCTAAGCTTCCTATGTCTGTGCTTTGATGTCTGTCATTAATTTTGGAAAATTCTCAGCTATTATATTTTAAACAATTTCTTCTGCTTCCTTCTCTTTACTTGTTTTTGTATTCCTATTACATGTATGTTACAACTTTTGCAACTGTCCAGTTTTTGGATATTTCTTTCCCTTCTGGTTCCTTCTCTCCCCCCGCCCACCCCCCGGCACCCCCAAATTCTTTTTGCTCTTTGCATTTTAGTTTGGGAAGTTTATATGGACATATTTAAGCTAGCTGATTCCCTCCTTGGCAGTGTTAAGTCTATTGATGATCCTATCAAAGACATTCCTCATTTCTTTTCTTTTTTTCATAAATTTTAAAATATATATATATTTTATTGATTTTTTACAGAGAGGAAGGGAGAGGGATAGAGAGTTAGAAGCATCGATGAGAGAGAAACATCGATCAGCTGCCTCCTGCACACCCCCAACTGGGGATGTGCCAGAAACCAAGGTACATGCCCTTGACAGGAATAGAACCGGGGACCCTTCAGTCCGCAGGCAGATGCTCTGTCCACTGAGCCAAACCGGGTGGGGCATTCCTCATTTCTTTTATAGTGTTTTTGGTTTCTAGCATTTCCTTTTGATTCTTTCTTAGACCATGTCCATCTCTCTGCTCACATTATCCATCTGTGCTTGCATGTTGTCTGCTTTTTTCATTAGTGCTCTTAACATTTTAATCATAGTTATTTTGAATTTTCTGTTTATTCCAAAATCTGTGTCATACCTGAGTCTGGTTCTGATGCTTTTGTTTATATTTTTGCACTATTCAGCATGCCTTGTAATTTTTTGTTGAAAGCCAGATATTATGTATAGGAAATAGGAACTGAGGTAAACAGGCTTCTAGGTTGGGAGTCTATGTTAATTTGTCTAGGAACTGGGCTGTGTTTAATGTTAATTCCATGCTGTAGGTGTCAGATTTCAGTTTTCCTCTAGGGTCTTGTTTCCTCCTTCCCTGTTTTCTTTCAGTTCCCCTATGAACTCCTCATGTAGATTTTGTGTCTTGCAGCTCTCTCAGTTGTAATCTACTATCATTATATGGGAGCCCCGTTGATGTGGTGGTAAAGTGGTGTGGAGGGGAAGCAGTCTATTATCTGATATTAAATCTCATTCTCTGAGTGGCCTGAGCCCCTAGCCCAGTGATGGCGAACCTTTTGAGCTCGGCCTGCCAGCATTTTGAAAAACCCTAACTTAACTCTGGTGCCATGTCACATATATAAATTTTTTCATATTTGCAACCACAGTAAAACAAAGATTTATATTTTTGATATTTATTTTATATATTTAAATGCCATTTAACAAAGAAAAATCAACCAAAAAAATGAGTTCATGTGTCACCT